AGTTTCAGATTCAGACTCAGAACCTTCATCAGTGGGTGTGGATTGTTGTGGTTGCTTTTGACTATCCTCATTCTCATCACCATCATCAGGATAACATTGGAAAATTCCCACATTCTCCCCCCACTTTGCATTGTACTCAACACTTCTCGTGAGCTTAATTGTCTTAGAGTCAGTCATCATTATTCTGTAAGAACCTTTCTGATAACCTAGAAAGATACCATGCAAACCACGCTTGTCTAACTTGGAGTTTTGTGGTGTGTGAATCCACATATCAGAACCAAAAATTCTCATGTGTTTGATGTAAGGCTTCTTGCCAAACATCTTCTCATAGGGGGTACAACCAATCGCTGAAGATAACCTGTGATTGTAACTGTAAACAAAACATGAGAGAGCTTCGGCCCAATAACTCTCTGGAAGATTGGCATCATGCAGCAAGGTTTTTAACCCTTGAAGCAATGTCTGATTTGCCCGTTCCGCAAGTCCATTCTGCCATGGCGAGCGAGGACTAGACAAAGCGTGTTGAATTCCTTTCTCAGTCAGAAAAGCTTCAAACTGCTGAGAAGTGAATTCTCCCCCGCGATCAGTGAAAAGAGTCTTTATCTTCTTATCATGCACATTTTCCAACCAAGCACAGAATTCCTTGAACCTAGGAAAAGCCTCTGATTTCTGCTTGAGATTGTACACAAAAATATATCTAGAAAATGCGTCAATGAGAACCATGAAGTACCTATTTTCACCCAAAGAGGGCGATAGTGGACCAACCAAATCAGCATGAACAACCTGGTATGGTTCCGTAGCTTGCCTACTAGACACGTTACCTTTTGCAGCCATTTTCACCTTGTTTGCTGCGCATGCTTTGCACTTCATGTGGTACCTGCAGGGTTTAATAGTCATACCTTCAACCAAGGCAGGCATTTTAGATACTGCCTCAAAATGCAAATGACCAAATTTTCGATGAAAATCATGAATACATCCTGCATGCAAACTTTTGTTAGAACCTGCAATGCAACAAGTGTCATCCTGCACAACATCATCATAATACAAAACAAACAAGCGATCAACATATTCAGCATGCAATACATAATCATTTTTCTTTGTGATGATGCACTTCTTGTTCTTGAAGGAAACGTCAATGTCCCGCTCATTCAGCTGTCCTACGCTGAGCAGATTATGTTTGGCGTCTGGCACATAAAGGACATTCTGTATCGATAAGTCCAAACTGTGAAGAACAACAGTTCCGTAGCCTTTACTGGGAATCGTGTGGTCATCCGCCTGGTGAATCGCACCTTCCTGCGGTGTAAAAGACACAAACAGTCTCTTATCGTTGCACATGTGGTGAGTTGCCGCTGAATCAACAACGAAGAAAGATCTAGACGCCTTCTGGACCTCTGCAACTTTTGGAGTGAAGCGTGAAACCATAGCCTTGTGCTGCGTTGTCCTAGACACCGGACCTTTGCCTTTGCCTCGGCCTTTTCCACGCGATGAGCTTTCGCTGCGCTGCTCTGTCTTGGCCTTGGGATATCTGCATTCCCTCTTCATATGGCCTAGACGTCCACATGAGTAGCATTTCACTGCCTTCAAAGCTTTGGCGCCATCTGGTGGTTCCACTGCACTATGGGATGACGTCTGTGAAGACTCCCCCTTGCCCATGCAGCTAGCACCCCGGCGATCCGCTTCATTTAAAACCACGGCAGTAACAAAGTCCACTGTCAGCTGAGCTGTTGGCTGCACAGCAATCTGGGTTGCAACAGACTCCCAACCTGAACCCAAAGATTGTAGTATCATGAAAGAATACACAGCCTCTGGAAAGTTGAGTCCTCTCTGTTGCAGCTCATGTCTCAGATTTTGCATCTCCATCAGATGTAAACGCACATCTCCACCTTCAGCAAGAGCCATATTATGCAGCTTGTTAAAGTAAAACATAGTGGATCCAGCTTCTGTCCTTAAGTGAGCCTCTCTCAAAGCGTCCCAAATTTCTCTGGCTGAGGTCTTATCACGCAACAGACAGAGCTCTTCTGGGGATACTATCAATGTAAGTGTTCCCCTCGCTTTGGAATCCTTAGCTTTCCAGTCATCTGTAATTGGAGCTGGGGGGGTGTCTGTAATCACTGCAAACAAACCCTCTTTCCGCAGAATTGCCTCTGCATACAGAACCCAGTCCGCATAGTTTTTCTTGTTGAGCTTAGGAATCCCACAAGCATCCTGAAGGGCCATCATGACTCTGGCATTAGCCTTCAGCGTCATATATGCTGCTTTAAATCTTGCTGCGTCACTGCTGCAGCTGCTTTGTTCCAAAAGCGCACTTAAAAGTTACTTTTGATTTCCCCAGCATAGTAACGTAGCCTGGGAGCCTTTTGCGTATTCCCGGCAAAACGGCTTTAAAAGTTCAAAGTCCAGCCATAAAGCCATTAACTGGAAGCTGGCAGGCTGCCCGGAGCAGTAGCACATACCTCATCAATCATGTTTACGCGCAGAGCAGATTCCGATCCGATCTGTCCCTCTGCATTCCGATCCTTTGCCGGCACTCCGATTCGACTTCTGGGCCCATAACCACGTGTTGGTGTAAAGCAGAGTCCCGTGCCCAGCGGAAGGATGAGGAGTACGTACTACATACTCTATATTGCTTTATTTACAGTTCAAAGCTGGTATATTACAGAAAGACATCTTGCCTCTGCCGGAGCAGGAAAAGCATCCTCTCTCCTCGACAGCTTGGAGAGAATCACGCAGTGAAAAACAGGAAACCAGTGTACGTCACATCCAGTCTCCCTTTCCCGTGAGAAACTCCAACAGTACAGACTGTGGAATGTAAACACCTGTCTCGTGACAAGCCCTTTCGCTGCACAGTGAAGGAAAGCAGAAACCAACAGTTGGATCATGTGCAGAGGAGGGCAACGAAGATGATCAAAGATCTAGAAGCCAAGACTTATAAGGAATGGTTGACAGGGACGCGGACTTATAAAAAATATTGGGGGGGCCCAGGAAAGCTCATGAATAATAAATAAGCTCATGAATATGCAAATAAAGTGGCTCCGGCCCTAAATAGGGCAAGCCACGCCCCCAGCCAGCCAATCGGCTGGCTGGGAGGTGTGGCCAGTCGGGATTCCCCTGTTCTCGCGGGGGCCAGGAGGAAGGAAATTCCCCCCGGCAGTGCCTTGGCAGTGGCGGTGGTGCTGCGAAGCAGCGAGGCAGGAGCCCCCGCCCCCGGGGATTCCCTAATCTCGCGGGGGACGGCCGGGGCTCTCCGACTAGGGCGCGCGGCTGGCTGGCTGGCGAGGGAGCAGGTGGGGAGGAGGCGGGGGACGGCGGCGGTGCTCTGCTGGAAGGGCGCCCGAGATTATTGGGGGGGCTGAGCCCCCCCAAAAAATTTTTTGAGGGGGCTCAAGCCCCCTCAGGCCCCATGGAGTCGGCGCCTATGATGGTTGAAGGAGCTGGGTATTTTTAGCCTGGAAAGGTGGGTCTGAGAGGAGATATGATAGCCATCTTCAAATATCTCAAGGGCTGTCACATGGAAGGTGGACCAAGCTTGTTTTCTCCTCCTCTGGAAGGTAGGACTCGAAACAGTGGCTTCAAGTTACAGGAAAGGAGTCCGACTAAACATTTGGGGGGAAATTCTGACATTAAGAGCTGTTCAGCAGTAAAGCAGACTCCCTCGGGAGGTGGACTCTCCTTCCTTGGATGTTCTTAAGCAGAGATTGAATGATCATCTGTCATGGATGCTTTAGCTGAGATTCCTGCATAGCAGGGGGTTGGACTAGATGACCCTTGGGTCCCTTCCAATGCTAAGATTCTATGATTCTTCATTTTCAGGGGAAGCATTTCTAGACCTGGTTCAGCCCCATGAGCTGGAGCCCTGGACAGCTGGTGGACCACAATTTCAGCATTCCTTTTTGGTGGGGTGGGATGGCTTGGAGGCAAAGTCATCAAGCGCTATTGTAACAAACCCTCCCCCCAAATTTATCACTTTGAGGGAGACTATTTGCATGTTTGGTAGAGCTGCTTAACTGTAGCTACTGCAATATATTGATGAATAAAGTGATGCTTGGAATGTTTGTGACTCATTCACAGCCACCCTCATTAACTAATCACCCTGAGCAATGTGGCCTTGGGGATCAGCAGTGTAGCTGTGGTCAGGAAAGGCCAGTGAAATGATGAACTGCTCTCTCTCTCTCTGCCTGTGGAGTGAATACTAATGAGCTGAAAAGAAATTTGACAGTTGTGCTGAACAAGTTTGCTACGTTTTGCAGTGGTGATCTTGTGAAGGACGTTCTATTGGCTGGAACCACGCGTGGGTAGGATCCTGGTTTGCCTTCTTTATGGTAAAGCTATAGAGACAAAAAAGGAACTGCGGGAGCCTTTTTTGCTGCCACCTCTTGGCTGGAGTATTTCAATGCATTCATTTTATTTATTTCTTGTATCTTGGCAGAGCAAGTGACATCAACTAAATATTTGATCCTGTCCTATCGCAGTCCTGGTGAATAACACTAAGGCCGCACCTGGGAGGGCAGCACAGTGACAGTGGCCCTCTTCACATGCCATGATGGGGTAAGGCAGTCCTACTGCACTCGGAGACCGCTTTGCTCATTCTACAGAGTAGCACCTTGGGCTTATGCCCCAGAGTCCTGTCCTGATGGTATGCATACACAACTATGCACACATTGAACTAAATAGGACTTCTGGGTAGATATGCACAGAACCAGATTTTCCCACTGCTGCATGTGTTTCCAGTGTGTTTCCAAAGCTATGTGGCAGGCAGAAGTTCATTGTGGCACAGAGAGTCAGTAATGGGGGAAAGTTACACCTCCTGAATTTCTGGCTTTTAGTTGGTGACATCAGATGATTAATAGGTGAGTGACCCGGCCCACCTGTCAAAGTGGCCCACTCTGGTCTGCTGGTGTGATCCTGTTCCCCACACCTGTGTTAAAGGCACAGAAGGCTAGAGGGAGGGACAGCATGTTATTTCTGCTTAGAAATTCCAAATACAAAAATTATTTCCAAGTGCATAAATCAACATAGATTTTATTGCCGTGAAATGTTCACTTAAATGTGGTCATCATCTTCAGAGACCCATGTCTCATGGACAAGTCATGTAAGGAACGGAAAGGTAAAAGAGAATGAGTTTAACCACCAAATTATAAATTGCTGTGGGGTGGAGCAGGGAAGAGGAAAGGAACAATAATCTTTGCCTTGCTTGTGACCAAGTGCTCACTCACATTTAAGTACAATCACAACAACTGCTGTACAGAACAGAACCCATCAGACAAAAGGAAAAAAAATAGCTCTTTAAAAATGATTCCCCATGAAAGAAACGGAAGTTTGGTCTTTTTCTGATGTTGGGCAAAATGACCTCATCTTCCCAACCCCTCAGTCAGCGCTTCTTCAAAGTCTGCAGCACAGCCAGGAGGAAGAAGCCTTTGAAATTCCACTTCCTGGATCCTGCTCGTGGGCCTGCAATTCTCTTACTATCAGCTCCTCTTGCCCTTTTAAAGCAAACTACTGGAACAGAAGAGTTATCTTTCCAAAGGCTAAGATAAATTCAAATTTATCTGGATTAATTAGCAGCCCTTTCAGATTTGTTAATTTCCAGAGCAAAAAAACAAAACAAAACAATGTTCTACAGTCTTTTCAAGGTTGGAGGGAACCACTACATGGGGTGGGGGCTCAAGGATGCATCTGAAGAACAGGATGCCACCATGTGAGTGCTCCTATCAAGCGACCATGCCGGTGAGGAAATTTCAAGAGGAAGATATGAGCAGTGGGTGGTATTTACACAGAGGTCTGAGAGAGAGACTGTACACTGAATAAGGTTTTTTGTTGTTGGTTTTTTTGTTTTTGTATCTTACAGAACATCAAGCCTGACCTGCAAGAAGGTCATTTCACACATTACGCAGCAACAAAATAGTGGTTGGCCCCAAGTGTACACTCAAATGGCCCTCAAGCTACATCTAGGCTGCAGCTCACCCACCGTCTTCTAACAAGTGTACTTCGTCTGAAACACATATTTTCAAACACCTGTTTATCACATCCACACTATACATTTTTAGGCGTACACTTTTTTTTTAATTAAAAAAAAACACCATAATACAGGAAGGAGGCCCTAAGTACGGGTGCCTGTCTGGTTGGATAAAAAAGATGACTGTATTTTGCTAATGAGCTTACGTACAGATAAACATTGGCAACCAAAGGATTATAAAAGACTGAACAGTTCAGATACTTTTGAATATGAACTGGGGTGGAGCTGTGAGCGGCAATAAAGGGTTTTGCCAGGATTTCAAAATGAAGAAGAGGTCCTTAGCTTTTACTGTCTGAAAATGCAGTGGTCCCATGAATACACAATTCCAAAAACCCATTCATCCCTCTCTTGATTGAATAAAAGTATTTCTAAATTACAGCCACCTAGTCTGTCCCTGGTCATTCATGCCTGTGGGTCACAGCCAGGGTGTCACAAATGATGGCTACAGGGGACCCGATACCTGCTGCACAAAAACAATAATCACCACCATATTTAACAAAAATGGTGAATCCTTAGAAGGGAGGGTTAAATGTGATTAAGTTACACAAGAGGAGACCTTAGGTAAAACTTCTTGATACCAAGAGGTTTGTCAATTCTGTGTATGTGTGTGAGAGAGTGAGTAAGGGAGAGCGAGAGCGCAGCTGACTTTTGACACCTCACAAAACCCCACCATGCAGTCTACTTTGGTAAGCAGTATTATATCAGGGTCATGGACTCATATGAGATCAACCCTTCCCCATGTATTGAAAAATGACTTGCATTTTCCAATGCACGGAAGAGGAGCCATGTTCTCATGTGAATCCAATGCTCGAGTGTTTAAACAAGCAGGCCACTCACATGAGTGTGTGTATGCAAATTGGATGTGTGTGGAAGCAGAGGCATAGCCAAGATTTTTGTTAGTGAGGCAGAACCGACAGTGATTAGTCAGTTAGTTATGTATTTCTGTTGTTTTACTTGATGGGGGGGGCAGCTGTCCCCCGCCCCCTCTTGGCTACGCCCATGTGTGGAAGTATAATCAGAACCAGCTCTGTGGGATTCCTCTATATTGGCAGGAATTAAGTGTGCGATGCACAACACGTCAGGGATTTATTTTATAAATCTAAACTTGTCAACATTTCAGCTGGGTTGGGCAATTGAGATTAGGGCAGATCTGCAGCAGTTAGCTAAAGTGTGACCTGCTAATTCCTGCATATCTAACCACTGTGTAAGGCATAGCTGGAAGGACTAGTAGCAAAGTTAGAAATCCTATTACATTTTGATCCTGGACATATTTCATGATGCTTTAGTGAAAAGTTTATTTTACTCTAGATCTGGGTAGGTTTTGTGAGTATTTGGAATGTCAGAACATCATACTATTTTAAGAAGAGGAAGAAAGACAATTGAGAACAATAAGGTTGTGCTCTAGTCTTTGCAGTGAGCAAAGTGTGTGTGTGTCTCTCTCTGTGTGGCAGATTTGGTGTTCCAGGCCCAACATGCGCATATGTTAAGTGCAGGGTCTAGCTGAATGAACCTGAGCCCAGAATAGCAAAGCAGACTTTGGGCAGATGTCTGGGAAAGAAAATTTTAAGTCCAACTTTATTATAAGCCACAGCTAGAAGGCTTTTCTCACTCCTTTAATGAACCTAACAGAAACAGAATGAGCCTGGCAAAAGCTGAGGCATTAAGTGTCAGAATCATGAAACAGCTAGAAAATTATAACTCTCTGGCTGTCTTGGGCATGGCTGCTACAAATGGCTACTTCTAAATCAGATTATTGAATTGGATAATGTGCTGGTCTGTAACAAATTTTGAGTTTAGGAATGTGTGTTCTGGGGGGGGGAGGCATTTGGCACTATTAAGACATTTTCTGAATAAGCAGGGAAAGGGGGAACAGCATCTTCCATGCTCATGCCTTCTGGCCCTCACTCCTTATGCACATTCAGCATGGTGTCTGTACAAATGATGCCCTACACATGTGCAAACTGTTGGCTCTGTCTGTGTGATCAGGGACCTTTCCTGATTGTGTAGTCAGAGCTTACACACAGGATCTTTCAGACATTGCATCAGAAGCACATTGGGGAAGAGCTGGCAGGAGCAATCCTACCCCCCCACCCCCCGCAAGAAGAGCTGAACAGTGTGGCTGAAGCATGATCGTACAAGCCGTTGAAGGGGGGGGGAGAGAAACATTGTGACATCACAGCAACACACTAGATCTCTCCAGTCCCATATTCTGATCCAGCAGAGCATACAGCTGTTTATGATTTCCTGCAGGCACAGAACTCAGCTGCTAAGATTAAGGGCAGGTGGGAAAGATGGTCAGAAGCTCCAGCTCTTATTTGTTGAACTTCTCCTAGCTAGCAGTAAGAAGGGTATGGACTCAGTGGCCACACCCTCCCAAGAGAAGGCACCCAGGCTGGAATGACAAATCATTGATGGGCTTTGACATCATTCTGGTGTGGATCTATCAGAAGCTCCCAGGCCTCAGTATTCAGTCCAAACAACGCAGTGCTTGTTATTTGAAATATCTTCAAGTTCTTCCACCTCCTATGCAAGACATGCTTCCATATTGTCTCTCGTGGGGGCAAGTGAAAAGAGGCGCTCTTCTCTGTTTCATCCATTGAATGGGTGATGGTGTGACACAAGCTCACCAGGATGCCATATTCTTTTAGTCTCCGACTAGGCTGTCCAATCAGAAAAGTGTTTCAGTCTTAGCCTGTGATAGGTTAGAATTGTGCTGCTTCTTCCAAGTCTGGGGGGGGGGAAGTGTCAGTGTATCATTTGGAATGATCAAATGTACGTGCGTGCGTGCGTGCACACACAAAACATCATTGAGAGAGAGAGAGGGAGAGAAAGGCTTTTAAAAAAGTGACACTTTCATCCCACAGTTACTGTACATAGCTGTCCTTGGGGAGAGCAGGGGTGGTGGGTTTTAAAAAACCACCCCCTCCCCAAATTCAGTTTGGTCCACTGGAGCCAAATCACTTTTGATGAGATATATAGATATAGATATATATGTAGATCTATATATATAGAGATAGATATATGTTTTAAAAAAAATATCAGCAGCAAGGTTCTCTGGAAATAGATTCTGTTTGATGTAGCTAGTCTGTCTTTTCTGTTTTGCCCTCTTTCACAGCAGCCTCTGAAGTTTTCCGCAGGGGGGCCTTCTCCGAGTTGGCGTGTCCTTGGCCGGATTCTGCTGCTCCGCCATTTTTGTGTGCCGTGTGTTTTTCCAAGTAGTTCAGCATTTCACTGAGAACAGTTTGGAAAGTGCTGAGGGCAGCACATATCGCAGGCGTCCCAAAGCCATGAGTGATCAAGCTGTAAAGGAAGGAGAAAGAGAGAGAGAGAGAGAGAGAGAGAGAGAAATATTGAAGAGTTTACTGCACACAGATTTTCATTTTGCTGAAATTGAAGACTTGCCCACTAAAATATTTATTACTTTTCGAGTGAGGAAGACACAAAAATAATCTATCTATCCAGGCCAGAAACATCTTCAAAGGTTGACTTTCTTGACAGAAGCTTAGGTGTTAAGTGCAGCCCTTAGGGACCAGATTTTCAGTTGGTGTAAACCAGTGTTGCTTCATTTACTGTGGTCAGGATGCCCTGGAACCCCACAGGTAGAAGAGGATGCTATGAAGTCTCCCAAAGCAATACAATGCGACTCCCAACAAAACTGTCTGCTAGGATGATGAGGAATAAACCCTGCAAGAAAAAGCCTCAGAGGTAGAAATATGTGTGGAAACACACATCTTGCACCCACTGGGAAACTCTGGCCCAATCAGGTACTTGCGCACGGGTGTTTATAGGTTTATGGGTGACATCCACCCTTGGCGTGTTGTGGTGAGAGTCAGTGTTGCAACAAAAGTGATTCCTGCAGTAATAATGTTTGTAGCTGGAACATATACTGGGGTGGCAAAACAGGGAACAGGCAATCTTCATTCTGGGAATAGGTATGAAGGTGAAGGGTTAACCCCCCCCCTTCCCAAATACATGGCCCTGATCCAAATCATACTTGGGATACAGTCACTTGGATTTGAATTAAAGTTCAGGTTGCCAGTTTCCCCCACTGGCATGTCCCCTATACCTTTAATGATTGCCTGGCTGGCAAAAATCAGCACTGAAGTTTTTGCTGGCGTGGCTATTCAACAGTGGGCAAAGCTTAACATGCTGGTTTCTGACTGTTATATAGCTATGAAATGCTGGAAGTATTTGGATACAGCTAAGCTTGCACTGGAGGCAGAGGTGTGAGAAGGTCAGGTGGTACCTGGTACGGAAAATTTCTTGTCACCCCCCCCCACACACACACACATTGATTTTTGATTTGCCTGCAAAAATGGTTTTTATGTTATTTTGTATTTTCTTACAAAGGAATGTGGATTCTGGGCCCCTGATAACAAGTAGGCGACTGTGGACAGCTACTTAAATCTACAGGATGGATTGTGTTTTGGCTCCACTGAATTGAAATTTCAGCCTTCATGATGTATGAAAACGGCCAAGTAAACAGTTATTTTTGTGGAGGAGGGTCAAGATATTCACTGATATGCATGAAATTTCAAATATAGCTATATAATCCCTAGTGTAGTAAGATAAGACCTTTGGAGCAGGCATTTTTTTTAAAAAAAGTTTTTTATGAAACGCCTAGTAGGGCAGTAATTGTTCCTTGATAATTTGTCACCCCCCTCCATGATGACACCTGGGGTGGACCCCCCCCCTTCCTACGCCCCTGGCTGGAGGCTAGAGAGAGGAACCTCCTAGCTTCCTAGACTGTCATTTATCCTGTGCTGACCTTCCTTCAGACTAGAATTTCTGACTTCATTTCCTACTTTCTTCTTTTCTTTGCCACCTTGGCATCCGCTTTGAGTCTCTCTCCATCTGAGATGAAAGAGAAAGCAAGGCCCATTGCACCTCTTCTGTGCTTACCATGATACAATGCACTTTTGGGGGAACGAAAATGGATTTGTATTTGTAAAGAGTGTTCTGAGAACGTTGGCGGTGGTGGGATATTATGCCAATTTTCTCAAGTCATTATGCGGTTAAGCACATGCAGCCATGCCCAGAAGCTGGATGGGAAGGGCGTTTCCCTTTCATGTTTTAATGATATCCTTTCACTGAAGCAAAACCATCCAAATAGGCCTCAAGACTTGGACTCTCCTTTGGCAGCAGCTACAAGGTGTCGCACACCCCACCCCACCTCTCCACCCCCAGGCTGACAGAGCTCAGTCTTATTGTGAAGGAAATAGCTTTACTCTCCATGGGAGGTGGAGGAGAAAAAGAGGAAGCCACCATCTGTCTATCCCCGTTTACAGCAATGGCCAAGTCTGGATATTTCTAGCAGCAGAAGTTGCTATCAAATATTTACAGCATACTGTGGCAGGCTGATGATACTCAAAGAGAGACATGTGCCTCTGCTATGCCCTGCTCAGTGTGAAAACATCTAACCCCATTAGTGGCCCCTATGACTGCAGAAGCCCCTTCCTGCAGCCTCTACATATTACCTGCGGTTCTTCACAGTATGTAACTTGTTCATGGTTAGAAGACGGAAAACACCAGGGCTTAGTGCCAAACCTTCAGATGCTTTACAGCAGGCACAGCCAAGGTGGGGACCTCTGGATGTTGCCAGACATAAACCCCCATCAGCCCCAGCCGGCATGGGAGTTATAGTGCTAAACGTCCGGAGGGCCACCCTTGCTTTACATAAATTTATTTTAGGAACAAAAAGGAGAGAGCAGTCTCCAGTGTTTTCTTGAAAGGATCTCCCTTGGTCCATAATCACATTTTTGTGGCTCGCGCACCTGAGGATCTGCTTGCAATGAGTGTATCAGCCATGTCTCTTGCTGCATGAGGGACCGTATCGGCCACAATGTGGGCATGCTTTATGCAGGGTTTCAGCTTCTGTGGCACTGAAGCCTATGCACATAGCTCAGTTGCCCATGTCGGATGTGTGGATGTTGGGGGTGGGTCAGGGGAAGCTGCAGAGGCCGTGGTATCGCCCCACCACTCCTTTCTGGGCATGGCCACTCGTCCATGAATAAGAGTGTGAGGAGGGTTGCTAACACTCCAGCTGCAATTTGGGTGGCTGTGTGTATGCTCACACAACCTTTTAAAAATACATATGTTATTATTACCATTACTATTCATTATTGTTAGTAATAACAATTTAAAGCATGCAAGTATATTAAAGTGATTTCAGGAGGAAGAACAAGTTGCTGAGAAGGACTTGTGTCCTATAGCTACACCCACAGAACCCTCTATGCCAAGCCTATTAGAAGCCACACATTCCCTTAAATACTATGAAAGTGCTTTGTGGTAGTTCTACTGGTTGTGTTTTAGTTTGCAGAAAATGTTGCAGGGTTATATTCAGATACCCTGTCTGAGCAGCACAAGGCAAGGGAAGTATATATGGCTCCATAAATTTTTTGGCATTTCAAGAATTTAAATCCTGGAAATGTCCCATCTCTACACTATGCTCCATGAAGTGCTCCACCTTCAGCCGCCATTTCGCTCAAGCACATTTTTATAATTGATGCCTGGGGAAAATCTTTGCACTTATCCCATCCTGCTCTTGCTTAGAGAGACCTGCAATATCACTTATTTGATTTAACCTGTTTGGGACTGAATGATCATTTAGGTGCAATTGGGAAAATGTAACCTAGTCCTATGTCCTTTCTTGCTTCCACATATTCTTCTTTTGTTTAGCTCACTAGCAGAGCAGCAGAAAAGAAATGACTGCTTCTCACCAGCACCACCAGAGGGCATCTGACCACTCAGGAATGACAGCACCTTGGAACGAGACAATAGTTTCCATTGCATTCTAACTGTGGAGATTTTCATGAATTTGGATTTCATGTTTAAGCCCACATATTCAACTGGATAGTTTTTCATTATGCAAAAACTGAAGTGGTTTAATTGTTTATTTACTTAAAACATTTATATCCCACCTTTCCTAGGGCAGATAACCAACAATAATTTAAAGAAAAACAAGGAAGAATAGCTAAACTATTAAATGTTGAAGAACACATACACACACAAATAAAAGCGGCTCTTAAAATAATCTTAGAACAGTGTACAAACAATGCAATACAGATTGATGCTGGAGTTTAAAAACCATTCATGGCTTCATGCTCCTCTAAACTGGAAGGTTTGACCATCCGGTGAAAAGTCATTAAAGGGAGGGATAAGGCAAGCCAAGCTGGGGGAAATTCAAGAGCCTTTTCCTAATCTAAGTCTATATTATTTATATAGCAAAAAATGAGCTTACATAAAAGTCTTGGACAGTAACTGCATTCCAGAGAGCTCTACTCTCTCCTGGATCAAATTTGAGGACATTCCTGTGCCTTGGGATCCTGTAAGATGTGGTTGCTACACAAGGACTAAGCTCGGCAAAGCTCCCCAACCCAAGACCAAAAGTTTAAGTAGCCTCCTTTTATGCACCCCTTGAAAGCTCTTCCCTACCACACATAGATTGGATTTAACAGATGCGAGTCTTGATGTAGAACTTACTGTGGCAGCATAAGCAACTTTCCTCCCAGTTTCTTGAGAGGAAGCACATTGAAATCTAAAACATTCACCAGCTGACATTTCAAGTTGACTTACAGAAGACAAATGGATTTCAAAGGTCATACCTGAAATGTGTTAAATGTCTCTGGATGTCAAGGTCCAATATTGGAGTGGGTCTTGAGGATCCCAAGGGTGATCTATCTTGGCTCAGCAGGTCCTGAAATTCTTTACATATTTGCCTAGAACCAAAATGGATGCATAATGTTAAGGATGTCTACCCAATGTCCCAATGCATGCTCCAATGTGTTGACATCTCTTAGGAGAAATGGATTCCCAGGTATGGAGCACAACTGAATAAATAGTAGCAGGTGGTACAGGTGGGAGGTGGGCTGAGAAATGAAGCCATTCTTCAAAGCTCTGCTGAAAAGAGTTTGGCACTGGCACTATTCCATTGCTTTCCATAATGCATGTGAAATAGCGTCACTATGAAATGCAGATGGAATGTGCATAGAGGCTCGAAAGTGAAACTGTGCCAGGATGTTTGAAACACGCAATATTAATTTGGAGACCAGATGATCCAGGATGTGGACTATTAGCTGGTCATTGCTCTCTTATGCTGTTTAGTGATTATATTCAAAATCAATCTACATTCCAAAAAATGTGCATATGCATACACATGCACACACACACACACAATACAGCGACAACAATCCAACACAAATTATGTGTGGTTATGCTGCTTTTGGAATCTACTTTAAAATGCTTCAAGTTGCAGTATTACTAAACATTGACCATCCAGTTCCAGGCTTTGGTCAATAGAACTTCACATTTCAGTGAACAGGAAAGGCCATCAGTGGGAGGCATCTCCCTACAACCAGGACTTGCCAACCATGCTTATCTCACTCATGTCTAAATTCAGCTGCTATCAGCTTGCTTGTACGCAATTTTCATCCACTATGTCATTGAGACTACTGCATAGGATCAAAAACAGACGATCAAAGGAAATAGTGCTACATGGGGTTAGCCTCTTGGTTGCACACCATTGCACTGTTCTCTCACCATCTCATAAGGAAGCCACACATACATAAAATATTGCCTTCTGGAGTCTACAGTGTAATTTTCAAAAGAGATGATGAGCCATGCGCCCCCCCCCCTTTTGAGGCCATTATCAGAAATAAGCAACATCTCTTGGGTGCATGCCACAAACACCTCCCAGGTAGGGTTTTTTTTTTGTGTGTGAATCATTTCAGAACCTGCCTCTTAGGTTCAGATAGGACCTAGAAGGTTGCTTCAGTCCATTTTCTGAAGCTTCACATGACTTTCCCACAGACTATAATGGGGAAATTAACAAAAGTCTCCACCTTTTAAATTTTTAAAGGCAGAACTGGGTGTTATATGCAGAGCTGAGTTGCTCTCGATTTCTAAACAGACTGTATGAAGTGCTGTGATTTGCCTGAGATTCATACCTCATAGAACTGTTGAATGGTAGAGTTGGAAGGAACCCCAAGAGTCATCTAGCTCAACCCCCTGAGACTTTTGCACAGCCTTGCTCTCAAGTTCTACAAAAATTTTCCCTATAGACATAATTTTATCTCGTGAACAATAACTTCCATATGAACTTCTGTCTCTGAGATCCAGGGAAGCCTGTATTAAGGTCCGCCAGTCCATATCAAGCAAATCTTTGCTCTTTAGCATTTGAGCCTTTGTCTTATTTTTCAAAAAAGGAAACAAATTATTTGCAACCGTTGATAGCTTAAAATGAAAGCAAATAGTATGAGTTTTTATCACGCCAATCTTTACAGTGTTAAATCATAGCTCCCAAAAGATCTGGTGCAAATCATTAGTGTGAGTAAGCCCAGAGTAATTTTGGTCCAGTCTTTCTTCGAAGCTCCGCCACTCTTGGCAGGAAGGGGTCACTTTGAAATGGTGTGCTGATGTGCCTGCAGATGAATGAATTGGTCTGTGCTAGTCCTAGGTAAATGTTTTAAGAGTCTGTTTGGTCTTTAAAATCCTGGCAGACTAATTGTTTTTTATGGCTCCTTGGGGAAGATAAAGGGCTTCAGGGGGCCTATTTGCCTCTGTTATGTTTGTGCATTTCAGAACTTCTGATTGTAATGACTGTGTGTGGCCTAATAAAAGTGGCAGCTTGTTTCCTTCCATTTTAAGCCAGTTATGTGATTTTTGGACTATTGCATGCTGGTATAGCCAAAGGGGATTCTTTGAAGAGAGGTTATACATCAAGTAGGAAAGAGGTTTCCCTTTTCAAGGAAACAGAAAGCTTGCTACTTTCATTGAAGCCTTTGATACTGTATAAGTTATTTGCGGTCACCTGTATCTTGTCGCCAGGCAGCACACCATGGCCATTGAAAATGTGAAAGAGGCACAGGGGAAGGAACTCAGAAGCACTTACTCTCTGTCCTTCAGTGTGAATGAATATGCAGGGCAGGTATAATGCAGAAAGTCTGATCCCTAAACAAATTGGGCTGTTATAGTTCGATTGAGCCTCATATCTCAGGCCAACAGACCAAATTAACCTGCTTTGTCTAGCCTATCATGTGAGCTTAAATGGTTTGTGCATCAGTCTATAATGCTACAGTGCAACATGTACTTCTTTGGGGGTCCAGCTGAAATCAGGGGAAGTTTTGTAACTGGGCTTATTCAGAATACCTGAGAGAGATTCTTACTGAAACTGCATTAGTGAAAATAATAGCTGGTGTGCACATTGACTAGGTCTGGAGAGACCTTGGTTCAGCTCCCTACATTCATGAAGATCACCAGCCTTCTTCATAGACTGTGATGAGGATAACATGGGATAATGTGACAGGGAAACGAAGACATGTTAGGAGTAGTGTCCCGTAGGTCTGCAACATCTGGTGTTTTGCATGTTTACTCAGAAGTAAGTTGGGACATGGGTGGTGCTGTGGGTTAAACCACAGAGCATAGGACTTGCCAATCAGAAGGTCGGCGGTTCGAATCCCCACGACGGGGTGAGCTCCCGTTGCTCGGTCCCAGCTCCTGCCAACCTAGCAGTTCGAAAGCACGTCAAAGTGCAAATAGATAAATAGGTACCGGTCCGGCGGGAAGGTAAACGGCGTTTCAGTATGCTGCTCTGTACGTCAGCTCCCTCGGCCATTAAAGCGAGATGAGTGCCACAACCCCAGAGTCGGTCACGACTGGACCTAATGGTCAGGGGTCTCTTTAATAAGCTTCCTCACTCCAGAATAATTGTGTATGGGATTACATCCTTGCTTGCATATTAAAAGAAAGCAAATAAGAGACTGAAGTCTGTAATGTATGTTATGGCCCTCATTATAATAAACAAAAAAATATACAAGGTCTTTACTCCAAATATGGCCCTTGATTTTTGAAAAATTAAAATTAAACCATTGACTTTTGCACAAGTAACCAAAAATATTTCAAGAAAACATTTTCCCCACTTTTTTCCACATTTCCCAAAATGTTCAAAAATCAGATAATTTCAGAAGATTTAACATCAGGAAGTCAATAGGCTGTTTCTGGCCTGCTCCTGTCTTGATGTGTGCGTGTAATAATGTCTTCTTCATGTACTTTAGTAAATTCAGCACATTTGGGCACATTCAAAGAAGTTTGATATGGAGGATTGCATGTCAACTGCTATGTAGTGAGGTTTTCATGTGAATACTGAACTTCTTTGTCAGTTTACATGTTTCCCATGAATCCCACTGGATAATTCCCATGACAAATTAAGCAGAGATGGATTTAGCAGAGTGCGACTGGTTCTCCTGCACTGTGTGTCAAGCTGAGGGTGGCACCGTAACTTATGTTGCAGTGCATATGCAAAACAGACATGGAGAGGGCACCAAATTTTGGCCTCACGCAGGGGGCTGCTGAAATTTGAAAGACCAAAGTCCGCCCCTGGTACAGGAGCACTACAGGATTGGCTCATGGGCCTGGTTTGTTCAGCATGTCTATGACATGCAGGTGATCAGTTCTGATTATGCCCAGTAGAGGGCAATAATAACATAACAGAAAAGAAGCAACAGTCCATCTGTCTGTCATTCATCAGTCAGCTGATTCCAGTGATGTGTCAGCTGCAGACTTCTGTTAAAAAACATCCAGGTCATCTTTCTCCACACAAATGGAATTGGCGATTTTGCATTTCTAGTGCTCATGCAAGGAGACCGCTCATGTGAGCACTATATTTTCAGAACTGATACGAAGTGCTATTCTATTAATATTTACCTATTTGTGTCACTAAATTCAACACAATGTACTTCCCAGGAAGTGTGTTTCAAACTGCAGCCTCTGTGCCTAATGCATTTATGTATCATGGAACAAAAACACTCTAAAAGTTTTCAGAGGGTGCATGTGCCCCCCTTCCACTATGTTTAGGGCTGATCCATGGTCAGGTTACCAACCAGCATGAAAACAATCTGGCTCTCCCTTACTTTGTTGCTAGGATCATCTTTTTCCTTGCAGTCTGTTCCTTCTGTTCCATGTGCTGTCTGGCAAGATGCTCCCCAACCGCCTTAGCTGGGAATTCAGTTTCACAAGTGTAGCCAAAATCCCTGGCCAAATGTAAAGCTTCTCCTGCAAGCAAACAAAAACAACTGGGTCATTTTACATTTAGTCTTTGGTACTTTACTTTACTTAGAATGTACAGACACTGCCTCTCTCAACATAGAGAAATAGTTATGATTTAAAGCATTTGTACCTGCTCTTCAAGCAAGAAAAATGCCAGAGCAGATTGCATAAGAGTAGTAAGAAACAAAACAACAACATATTTTGTTGTTGAATATGGCATCAAAAATAAAATAAAAATACTGATAACCCTGAAGAATGGCAACCACCAAAATCAAAGACTGGACTTTGGCAAACTTAAACTTTGGCTGGGTTTTTAATCCTTGCTCACAAGACATCATCCAAAATGTATATCTATACTGTACTTTGTGTTTAGATACTACTGTCTGATGCCTTGTTTCTCAAACCAGCTTCCCACCAGCTTAAATTGTTCTTAAGCCATTCCTCATTTGTCTCTAGCCCAGTGTTTCCCAACCTTTTTTGGGCAAAGGCACACTTGTTTCATGAAAAAAATCTCGAGGCACACCACCATTACAGCCCCGTGACGTCAGCGCGCAGCGTCACGCCGGGAGGGACATGAATTGCTAGCAAATTACATAATCACCTCCTTGAGGGCTGGCTCATCTTCTCCGAAGGCAGAACCCCATTAATTAACAGCACAGACTCACACCATAGCCAAGACGAGGGGGGAAAACCTCAGTCATGCACAGTCATGCACATGTGGGGGCTAAATGAGGACGAAGACCGGGCAGAGAGCAGGGTTCAAATCACCCCACCTGGCCAGGACAATCCCTGGGCGCTCCCTTGGGCCACTCGCCTGACCCACCTCGCAGGGCTGTTGTTGCGAGGATAACACGGGGAGAACCACGCGCGCCCCCGGGAGCTCCTTGGAGGAGAAAGCGGGCGATGAATGCAATGCACGAAATATATGAGAGGCGACCAGGTTTTGCAGGTGAGGGGCCCCCGCCAGCCTCCGCTTCCAACACCCGGCGCAACGACGCCGAAGTTTCCCCCTGGGCTCGGCTCGGGGAGCAGCGCTGCTCCCCCCCGGCTCCCCTTCGCCCTCCCGGCTCTCTGCCGCCCACTGGGGACCCCCCTCACCTGCCAAGTCCGGAGCGCCGGTGGAAGTTGCATGCATGCATGCAGGGCGCCGCGTTGCCATTGCATTGCACTGCACTCCATGCAACGCCTGCACGCATGCATTGCCTTGCACGCCCGCCAAGGGGTCTCCCCGCGGTCCGATGCGTCCCCTCCGGCGCGGATGCAGCATTGCAAAAATAAAAAACCCCCAACGCAGCCCTACCTGGGGGGCAGCCTCCGCCTCCACCGCTCCGCCTCCGCGGGGATCCCCGGGCTCCATCCTGCCGCCCGATCTCCGGGGGGCGCAGGCAGGCTGCGCGGGGTCTGCGCGGAAGAGCCCCTGCCCGCCCGGCCGCCGCCGCTGCGCTCATTCCATGGCCGGGAGAAGAGCGCTTCAAACAAAACGCCCGGCCCGCCAGGCCACGCTGGGAAACGTAGTTTGCGCACCCCGCGCGGGCGCGGAGCCCAAGGGTGAGGGGACTACGGATCCCGGCAGCCCCCGCGCCGGGGACGGAGGGGGAGAGGCCGGGTGCAGGGATGGAGGGACGGGTGGGCGAGCGAGTGAGTGAGTGGCAGCCGCCAAGCCTTGGCCGAGAGCCAGGAAGGGCCTCCCCGGAGGAGGAGGAGGAGGAGGGAGGCGCAGAGCGGGAGGGAGGGAGGGAACCCCAGGGGTCATCTAGTGACGGCGCCCCAATCGAAAATTTGACTTAAAAAAAAAAATCTTTCAATTTTTTAATTTTTCCCGCGGCACACCAGGCAACATCTCGCGGCACACTAGTGTGCCGCGGAACAGTGGTTGGGAAACACTGCTCTAGCCAAGGCATGGGCACCTTTGCATGGGGCAATGACATCCCTGCTCAGTCAACACCTCCTGGTGTGTACAGTACACAGACAGAAATTGACCTGATTCATAAAATCAAAGCATTGGAAGGGATTCCGAGGATCATCTAGTTCATCTCCCTGCAATGCAAGAATATGCAGTTGTCCCATAGGAGGATCAAACCTGCAACCTTGGTGTTATCAGCACCATGCTCTAAACAACTGAGCTATTACTGCTCTGAGGCAGTAATGTGAGCACACCCTCACTTTGGATCCAAACCTAACGTATACTTTGTCTTTTGGCAAAGAAGTACTGCAGCTTTTCAAACAAGGCAATGTTCAGATATGCTGTAAGTAGTACTATGGGATGGCTCTCTTCCATGGGCATAGTAGTGAGGTGACATATTAAAGCCCACAACTTGAGTAGGGACAATCACAAGATCACCACCAGCATATCATCCTCATCAACATTTCATCAAAAGGTAAGGTTACCAGATTTTTTCCCAAAGAATCCAGGGACACTTTTCAACTTCAATGGATTTTGTCAGGGGACTGATTTGTAAATCTGGGGACTGTCCCCGGGGGATGGGGACATCTGGTAACCTTATCAAAAGGTCCCATGCAATTGGGCCCAAAGATGTGGCTCTGGGCCTTTAAATATTACAGCAGCATCAGGGAATGAATCCACAAAGAAACTGTTTCAATGCTTATACTTTAAAGATCAATCACTTTAATATTGTTTGCTTTCCTAAGGCTATGATGTTGTGAGGGGGGTATATGGAGTATTAAGGGAGGGGTAGTACCTCTGGTGGGGGATACATTCTACCTTTGTTCCCCACCCTACACTCAGCTCTCACCTGTGGCTCCCAGAAGCTGTCAGCATGCAACAGTAGCCATACCCCAGGAATGGCTTCGACTAGCCAGCTAAACCAGGTGAGGTCAGCCAATGGGTCTCAAACCTTCAATGAGTTAGGGACTTCCCCAGTATGTGAAGATAGGCTGTGGTGCTGTGGTCTAAACTACTGAGCATAGGGCTTGCTGATCGGAAGGCCGGCAGTTTGAATCCCTGCAACAGAGCTCCAGTTGCTCAGTCCCAGCTCATCACAGTGCAAGTAGAAAGCACATCACAGTGCAAGTACATAAATAGGTACCGCTCCGGCGGGAAGGTAAATGGCGTTTCCATGCACTGCTCTGGTTCACCAGTCATGCTGGCCACATGACCCGGAAAAACTGTCTGCGGACAAACACCAGCTCCCTCGGCCAGTAAAGTGAGATGAGCGCTTACAACCCCAGAGTCATTCGCAAGTGGACTTAACTATCAGGGGTCCTTTACCTTAATAGTGTGTCCAATGGTCAAGAAGGTGGTTGTATTGCCAGATCAGATGTGGCCAGTAGGTGGTGCTTCCTGGTTTCAACGTTTATTGTAGCTTTAAATCTTTATATTTTTATCTGTATAATGAGGGCTTCATCATATAGCTAACATTACAATGAGGAACTGGTGCTAGATGCTGCTATATATCTGTCAATATAATTAGGACTATATATGATAAGGGCAGGGATGCAGGTAGCGCTGTGGGTTAAACCACAGAGCCTTGGGCTTGCCGATCAGAAGGTCAGCGGTTTGAATCCCCATGATGGGGTGAGCTCCCATTGCTCGGTCCCAGCTCCTGCCAACCCAGCAGTTTGAAAGCACGTCAAAGTGCAAGTAGAGAAATAGGTACCGCTCCAGCGGGAAGGTAAACAGCATTTCTGTGTGCTGCTTTGGTTCGCCAGAAGCAGCTTAGTCATGCTGGCCACATGACCCGGAAGCTGTACGCCGGCTCCCTCGGCCAATAAAGCGAGATGAGCGCCGCAACCCCAGAGTCGGTCACGACTGGACCTAATGGTCAGGGGTCCCTTTACCTTTACCTTTATGATAAGGGCTTGGCAACTTAATGAGAATTTGGCCAGCTGCCAGACACCTGCCAGTTTGACAAGTTACCATGCCCAAGACATGAACTGTACTTGGCTCAGCCTGAAGGACAGCTGACGCCATGCACCCTAATTGACCAGACATAAGGCCAGCACTGCATTCATGCCCAAGTAGGGAAGAAGGTTCACATAATGCAGAACACCTGCATAGCCAGGCATTGCGCCCTCGCTAGGGCTCTAAAAGCTCCTAACTTCAGAGGCTGAGTCCTCGCGTTCTACAGGTAAACTTCAGACATTGGTCCCATCAGCTGAGGGAAGGATCTGATGCTCCTGGGGACTCTGCAGCAAATGAGATGAACCATGAACTTCGCTTTTGCAGTTATCTCCCTAAATATCCTGAAGTGCCTTTTTTGCTTATCTTAACTGCTATTAAGCCTTTGCTTATTGTAAGTCTTTATATTGTAGAGCTTATTAGACTCTATTTTGTAGTATCATTATGTCTTACTGCTAATAATTGTCAATCAATAAACCATTTTCTTCTTCATCTAACAGTCTACTAGTCCTCCATCTGCTGGGATCCAAAAGAACTCCTTGCTTGCTATAACTACTAGGCAGCATAGCAAGACAGAGGTTTCTGCACATGCTGTAGATGGACGTAAGGGGCAGGTGGGGCTTGCCAACCTGAAAAGGTAGCCCATCTAGAAGGAAAACTCTGACCCTGAACCTCCACTGCCTTGTGGGAGAAGAAAAGGCTAAGGAGTAAACCCAACACAATCTAGAGTGGAGTTGGTTGGATGGTGCCTTGTACACTTTCTCCCAGCAACTCCTGCAGCCAAGCTGGTGCTCTGCTTTCCTTTGGACCACATCAGCAAGACTGAGAAGGGGGTCTTGTCTTCTGGGCGTCCCAAGACCTCCATACACACTGCCCAGGGAGGTCACTTTGGTGCTGCTAACACAATAGTTTGACTTCACCCCCAGAGGCACACTTCATTGTCTTGAGACAGATGGATGTCAACAACAATGCTGTTGTATTATGATTATAGGAAATTTTCTATAATTATGAATGAAGAAATATTTTTTTCAAATATTAAAAAATGGCATTAAAAAAACAGCTACCAATGACTGGTTGGTAGCTTCTGTTTATTAAAATGTAAGTTAACTCTTTAGAGAATCCATTTCTTTTCGAATTTGGATAAGAGTAAATTGGTTGAAGTTTGCATTGTAATATGCACATATATGGCAATTAAATCAATTAATTCATTATGTGTTCAGCTATAAAACATGCAGCCAAATAAAGGCCCTTAGATGGACAAAATATAATTCTGATTACTTTTGTGTTGCTTGTTTAGAAACAGAGAATTTTCATACAGAATTTTATCGTTTCATTGGGCTCAATTGCGTAACTGTGGAGTAGTTAAAACATCAGGAGGACATGCCATACTGAGCTGCGGATATTAATTTTAGAGACAATTTGCTTTCTTCACCCCATCCCTTTACAAGACGAAACACATATTTTCAACAAACAGGTCAACATGTGTCTCTTTTGGCTGTTTAATGGGCACTACCGCATCCACAGCTTCTCTCCCCTTCTCCTTTGTTTTCACAGTCTTCATTCTTCTGTCTTCTCATGGGATGGAAAAGCAACCTATTTCTCTTTCTCCCCCCCCCCATTCCTTGAACAGGTAATGCTGCAGGAGTGCTGATCATTATGCAGGTAAAGCCAGAGAGAAGAGGAGAGGAAATCCACGGATAAGCTTCCTCCTAGGACTGTTGTTTTCAGCTTTCACTCGAGATAGGAGCATCCCTCAGTCTTGGGGAGGCCCAGGAGAGCTCCTTGCTGCTCCTTGCACCTGCCAGCTGAAGCCTGTCAAGGTACACAACCTGGTCCCTCCTGTGGGGCCTTCCAGAAATCTCTGCCTTAGCCCAGCAAACTGTCCTTTTCAATCTTGCAAAGCTCCCTGGCCAATTGTCAAGCAAGACAGAAAAAGTCTTGCTTGTTCAGCATCAGCTCTAGCTGTAAATAAAGCAGCCTGTGCCCCAGATTGTAGTGAAAACAATGAGCAGTGCAGCATGGCTGCTCTAGCAGTCAGCACTGTGTGTGGGGTCCTCTGAGCAAAGTTGCTGTGGCATTTCAAGATGGCTGTGCTGACAGATTAAAAGGCAGTCCCTTCTCCTAAAGCCCACCAATCTTCCTGCTCTTGTCCACTCTGATTGACAACAGCTGGTCAAAGCTTGAGCCTAAGTGTATTTGGGCTGATCCTCAATTACAGTACTACCATAGTGGCAAAGGGAGCAAGTTTCCTAGACTTTGCTGTAGGAGTCCCTGGTTTGAGACCCATATCCTTAAAATTCCATGTTAGGTTCCTGCCTTCTCAGATGGAATCAGTGGATAAAAGTCTGCTCTGTCTCTTGCACAGTTGCCTGCTCAAGTCCCTGCTGGGGCTTTTACTGCCTAAAAGGAAGCGGGGCTGTACCACACTTTTAGAACACACATTTGGCATGCAGAAGGTCCTGAGTTCAATTCTTAACCTCTCCAAATAGAACTGGGAGAAACTCTTCTCTGGAATCCTTGAGAGCTGCTGTTGAGCTGGATGGACAAATGACCTGACTCAGCATAAGATAGCTTTCTGTGTTCGTTACTTAAATAGTCTGCCATCTTGCCACACTCTCAGGGCAGGTGCCTCATTGAGATGTTGAGAACAAAGCATGGAAACTTCAGAAACAACAGTTGTCATTCATTGCTAGTAGGAAAAATGTAACTGTTGATCTTTTGTTTTCATCTGCAGTTACAGTAACATGCTAGAACCAAAACCACTTCAAAAATTCAAGAAGGCAACAAGTAAGGTATTTATATCATGATATTACAAAGCATACCTTCTACTAAGGATGTTAGGAGGGTGACATTTGCTGCTTTCCTCCTCCCTGCAGGCAGATTGAGCCCCAGTCTGTCCAATTTTTCTCTTAAGCAGCGTCCTCCATTCTTGGATTTTGCTCTGTCAGGGAGAGGGGAGGGAATGGAAATACAAAGATTCAATGTTATCCTTTCCCAGTTTTTCTTACTTAAAATAATTCCTCAAATGAGTATCTAAGAGCTGCATGTTCCCAATTTGCAGTACAAGGCCCTCCTCAGCAGGAATTCATAGGTCCTCTCAGCAGCTGGAGCTAGTAAATGAGAAGAATGATGTTGTTAAGGGCTAAATGGCATGTTAAGTGGGGAAGCCATGACTTGATGTTGCTTTCTTTCCCCATAGGAACCATTGTGAGTAGCAATTGAATCAGTGCCATAGTGTACACGAGTGTGCATATGGCTAGCCTTTCCCCTCAAATTGATTTCATGGTGCAGATCACTTAGTGGCGCTTCCAAAAATTTCCTCAATCAAATTTCTCCCCAGATTTTTGGAGTTTTGAATGATCAGGTCTTGTTTCCAAAGTGAAACTGACACATTTGATTTTTCTCCCCATTGTTCCTTTTCGATTTTCAGATTTGTACAGCACACTTCGTACACACAGCCTCTTCCTTCAGCTTATTTGCCTGCCCTCTCTTCTGCATCACAGATGTGCAAATGCTATGTGCATTGATAAAACACATCAACAAAACAAATGTGATATGATAGAACCTACAATTGTAATAGAAGGCTTTTTTGTGCCGTGTTTGACCAATCTATGACAGCATATGGGCACACTGGAAAGAAACTTGATGCAGTCATATCAAGATTGTTTTTAGGGGCAGTGTGCTTTATAAATGCATTAATGTGCACTGGTAACAAAAGCAGAGATGATACAAATGGATTAGGAAAAATAAACTGTGGAAAACTGCACATGTCCCACATTCCAAATTAAGTTTTACAAATGCCTCCAATTAAACTGGATTCAGGAAAAGTGAAATTTGGAGCACAGCAAATCAGAGAAACAAATAAAGCAAGAGAACGAACAGAGGAAATCCTCTCATCTCTAAAATCACTCCTCTGAAAGGGACATTAGGTGGGAAACTGAAAGCATGCAGGTACAATATGAGTAAAAGTTGGGGTTTCTGATGTACTGGAATTCTCTCTTGACTTATACTTAGAAAGGGTTATCAAACAAAAAGTAGTGTTACAAAAATAGTCCTGTTCCTCTCACAAATTTATGGGTTTCAGAAGGGACCCTCTGAATGCTACTAGTAAAAAGGAAGAAAATGAATGACTTCGATTCTATTAACAGAGCTTTGCACAAATAAGAGCAAGAATCTTCCCACACTTCACCAATTTAATTACTCCATGGCTTTTGCTATTAACTACATCATTTGTTTTGTGTTTAATCTGAGAAAGTCACATTTCTTTGGTCATTTTTTCATGCAAAGTCATTTTGTTTCAACACTCATGTTTGTTTCCCCATTCAATGAAGCTTGTAATTCTCCTGCCCCTGTCATCTGGGTCAACAGTGATCACAGAGCTGATTTTGAAGCCTGCTCCTTGTGGCTGCCACTTCATTTCCCCAGAATGCCCCAGATATTATATTGTTCTGTAGGCTTTCTTGCAGGAGGAGCAGCATAAATTAATGGTGGTCACCATTAGGAATCTTGTGAATCAGCTGTCATTTCTTTCCCAAATATATTGAAATGATGCATCATCTAAGCCAGGCTTCCTCAAACTTGGCCCTCCATATTTTTTTGGCCTACAACTCCCATGATCCCTAGCTACTAGGACCAGTGGTCAGGGATGATGGGAATTGTAGTCTCAAAACATCTGGAGGGCCGAGTTTGAGGAAGCCTGATCTAAGCACTGTGGAGAAAATAAAAGGTAGAGTGGCCATTGAAACAATGTGTCTGCAGGAACTGTCAGTGAAAAGTTCAAATGGGTCTAAGTGTGGTAACAAAAGCTGAGCCCATTCATGCCCATTCATTATTTAATGCATTCATTCTGAAACAAATGAAAATTTAACCAAATGAACTCCATTTTATATACATTCCATAGAGATGATGCCTAGCTGGTGATTGGGAGAGGAGGGATATTGTTTCTATTTTATTTTTGGACACAAAAGTTGTCTAACAGATAAAACCACAGCCAACAATTAAAATGCTACAACAAAAAGCTGCTTATGTTTCATCTATTATTTCTGGTCTTCCTTGTTGAGGCAATCATTTTTTGATGTTGCTGTCAGTCGGAGGGACAGATTCAGATGAAGTAATCACTTCAGGAAACAGATTCCAGAGGAGGCACCATTTCTTTGCCTCTGATCAATCTGTCTCAGTGTTCCCTTTTCCATGAAGAGCCTGAGGTACATAAAGGTCCGAAGAACTCATCTCTTATAAGCCCAGCCAAGCTGAGCAGGCACAATGACATGCCATCCAAGGCCCCACTGAGTCCAACTCAAGCGTCCCTATATCTACCCCATGCACACAGCTTTCCCTTACCTTCTCAAAATCCCTCCTAACAGAGAGGCATTGAGGCATTCTGGTGGGGACAAGCGTCTCTTCACTTCTGCGATGGTCACTTTGTATTTGGAAGTGGAGCTGAGTAAAGATAAACGGCCAGGAACCGAGCAAAAGAGGTCTGTGGGATTGACTACACACGTGCCACCTGAAAAGGTATACATGACATGCGTTAGGGGGAGGCTCAGAGCAGGAGTTTTCAGGATGAAATGTTCCTGGAACACATTTGAGGGAAAGTTTTGCTTAATTTGGGAATTATGCCTGAATGGAGGATGGGAGCGCAGGTAAGGTCCGTGGGGCCAAGCACACCAGCCCTGCTGCCAACACTCACCTGTGTGCTTGCTCTGCCTGTTCCATCCCTGACCTTCCTGTATTGAGTGGGAAGGTAGGGAAGGGAATTCTAAGCACATTTGATTGAACACACTTAGATGTCTCCTTGGAATAATGCAAGGTTCTCAGTTACAGGGAGGTTTCTAAGCACGTTCGGCTAAATGCACTTATAAATCTCCTTTAGACTTTCCAGCCCCAAGACTGCTGGGGATGGAACTGACAGGCTCAGTGACATGCAATCCTTTTCCATGGGTTGATCATTTTAATGCCTGAGTAGGGTTTTTTATGTCTTTCCCAGTTTGGTCCATTTTAAAAGCACAATTTCATAGCAGAACTTGTTATTGTTTTTTAAAAAAGTACCTCCAAAACTATATCAAACAAAGAATTTGCACGACATGTAAGAACTTCAAATAGTCACAACAGGCTATTTGCAACCAGTTACAATGATTTCTTCCCTTTTTATATTTTGGTTCTGGAGGGTCTTTTCTTCTTCCAGGAAAATATTTTTGCATATTTATTTCGGGTTTTTTGTTCTGTGATTTCTTCCCAGAACTGCCACTTGCAACTGTGACCTGACCTCTGGCATGATAGTGATACTTAGGCATCATCACTACTACAGCTGCAATTCTTGGAGTATATCTCTTCAGACAGAGGATTGCAGAAATACTGTATATCCTTCCCTGTATATAGACAATTAGATGTCAAGGAGAAGGTTTCTAGCATTCTATTTTTCTGTGCATCTATCTCCCTCAATAAAAGCATTCAAGCACGCTTTCTGTAGTCTGAAGAGGGGCACTCTTACCACAGGAGCTGCTGTTTGTGTAGGCTAAGTTTTGCAGTGGTAAAAATTATTAAAACAGGTTTAAAATGCTGTTTGTTTAGATTAATACAAGTGATACATACACAAGTGGTTTACCAAAGGGTACTTGGGAAGGACGACGACGACAATCCAGGTAACTAACATGTACCAGTATTTGTATCATGTACATTCTGCTTTTTATTACATTTGTAGAAGTTAACATTATTCTTTGAAGTAGAGTTTATAGCAATTATATTCCATGGATGTACACAAGGCAATGGCACACTTGAAAATATTTGCAATGTTCCCAGAGGAGGCATTCATTAATTGTTGTAGTCCATGTCTTTCCCATTTTCCCATTTTGTTTTCACAATTTCTAAGTCATGATTTCTGTATCTATGCCTAGTGGATTCAAGTGGTTAATCACGATTTCTCCCAATAAAAGCCAGTCCCTCAACATCTCCATTGCATTGTGAGGAAAAGGAACAAAATGTAGGATGTGCTGAGAGAAGCCGCCCACCCCACTCAATGGCTTGATTTGCAGTGACTGGGATAGAGAACTGGGTGAGGCCACCAATGCAGTGATGTATCCAAGGGCACTTCTTTCCTTTTCCCCATATAAGTGAATGGGAAATATAAGGTCTGCACTTGAAGGCAAACCTACCCTTCCACACTCACAGTGGGTGCCTCAACCCTTACAAACAAGGATCCCCGGGAAACAAAAGGCTCCTCCACACACAAAGTGCCCCTATTCTATTTATGGGCAAAACAACTTGCCTGCCTGACTGCCTGACTTTATCTATGCCACTTTCCATATTTTCTGATTTCACCTGCCTCCTCTGACAGAGACCACATATGCAGTGTACAAGGAGACAAGCTGCTTCCTTGCTTGCAGCTCAGGAGTCCCAGCAATCTATGGCCAACCACTCTGTCACTATAATAGGAGTTTCACTAGAAAATATATCTGTGTCTATATCTCTGTCCCTATCTAACTAGTGATTTTATAAATTGCCATTTAGGGGGGGGACACGAGGTCTCAAATTAAACGGACAACAATGAAAGACCAACAAAATTCTGAAACTCAGTTATCTTAATAAATGTGAGTATTTTCAAAGGAAAACACAGGCTTCATAACTAGTAGAACTCTATGTGTGTGGGGGGGGGATTGTTTTATTTTTCCAAACTCTCAACCTGCCAAATTGTACCTTATGCTTTTTCACCTACATATAGCTTTGAATAAATAATAGTCTTCCCATGTATCCAGATTTCAGTTCAGCAAGATAATGTGTAAATGATGTTAATTATATTGGAAGGTACTATTTATTTCAGCTCTTGATATATTTGCTCGTAGGCAGGTAGAGAATTACCTGCAGCCATAGATCTTTATATTACAATGCAAGAGACAAATTAAGTCTACATTTTACAAACAATGAGGAAGTGCAGCAATGAAATATTAATATTTCTCTTTTACAATCCAACCCATATGTGCACAAACAATTTGTGCTGAATAAATAATTGCTCCTTTAATAAGAAAACATTTTGTTCCCACCTGCTTTATCTTTTTCAGCGCAGGCTTTATCATTCAGCAAAATGCATCAATTCCAGAAAGGCCACAGTAGTCTTCTAAAATGAAACTGACTCAAAAAGCGATGCCTTGTAAAAAACATTGAGCAGAAACAATGGCCAGATCCAAAGAATTGCTAACTTGAGGTGCCCCTTGGGGGTTTCAATGTGCCCAGTGGGATTTTTGACATTTTCTCCTGGAGTGACAGGCCCCTGCCTGCCACATCTCAAAGTACCGTATTTTTTGCACCATAACACTCACTTTTTTCCTCCTAGAAAGTAAGGGGAAATGTCTGTGCGTGTTATGGAGGAAATGCCTATGGGTGGCATGCCTACGGATTTTCCTCCTCTATAAACTACGTGCGTGTTATGGTCGGGTGCGTGTTATAGAGCAAAAAATACGGTACTTTTGAAAGCCCTCACCGTTTTCAAAAGTGTTTTGCCTTGAGGTATGAGCTACTGTTCTAGCACAAGTCCAAATCAGCATTGGGCATGCAGAGCTATCTGTATCGTTGGATCATGGCCAATAGGAGTATAGCATCTAGATCAAGGGAAGTAATAGTGCCACTGTATTCTGCTCTGGTCAGACCTCACCTGGAGTACTGTGTCCAGTTCTGGGCACCACAGTTCAAGAAGGACACTGACAAACTGGAATGTGTCCAGAGGAGGGCAACCAAAATGGTCAAAGGCCTGGAAACGATGCCTTATGAGGAACGGCTAAGGGAGCTGGGCATGTTTAGCCTGGAGAAGAGGAGGTTAAGGGGTGATATGATAGCCATGTTCAAATATATAAAAGGATGTCACATAGAGCAGGGAGAAAGGTTGTTTTCTGCTGCTCCAGAGAAGCGGACACGGAGCAATGGATCCAAACTACAAGAAAGAAGATTCCACCTAAACATTAGGAAGAACTTCCTGACAGTAAGAGCTGTTCGACAGTGGAATTTGCTGCCAAGGAGTGTGGTGGAGTCTCCTTCTTTGGAGGTCTTTAAGCAGAGGCTTGACAACCATATGTCAGGAGTGCTCTGATGGTGTTTCCTGCTTGGCAGGGGGTTGGACTCGATGGCCCTTGTGGTCTATTCCAACTCTATGATTCTATGATTCTAGGATAGGAAGGAGAAGGGGAAATGTTGTGGGAATGTAAAAGGTATTACTTATCCAGTGACATAAGGGCAGGATGGTAAATGGAACTTCCCAGTGAACTATAATGAAGATATGAAGCAGGGTCTGTCCAAATTATGGCTTAAGCCTGGTGGGCAGGCTTCATGGGAAACCTCAGTGCACCAGCTGCACAGCCCACCCACTGAACAAAGGGGAAGCCTGGCCCTGGAGGAAAGAGCCAGCAGCCAGTTCTTGAGCATCTCCAGGGGGTGCTGCCCTCAGCTGACTCCTTGGTTTCTCCTCAGCATCCTTGAGGTTCGGATGCCCGACTTCTCTTCTGTCACTGTCCTTTGATACTACGCTCTTCCCCACCATTCTTCCCTATCATGCTTAACATGCTTGATAGGAGAAAAATGTTCCCTGGAGGCTTCCCAAGGTTGCCCAACACTAGGACCAGCCCTGATGAAGTGGGGCAAGTTCCCTAACTGCACGTAAGTAGGCAATGCACCATTTTCAAGGATGAAGTGGCAGGCACACAATACTTTTCTCTCTTCAGGAGAATTGAAGGTGATATGATAGGAACACGTTTTATTCCACTGTCATGACTGTTCAAGCAGATGTTAGGGTGCCTAACTACAAAAGGGCAAAAACTGCTTTTCAGAATCAGCACTGGGATGGAAAATGTAAGTGATTGCATTACGAGCCATGATGGCCCTCTGGTGCCACTCCCAGGAGAAGAAAAACTACCATTTGTCTCTAGTCTGAACACGGCGCACTGAAATGATGTTTTGGAGAAGCTTCTGTAGTCTACTAATCCCACTCTTTATAAACAGCATAATATGGATTGAAAAGCTATATTCACATTAATGATTGAATTCCATGCCCCATTTTTCATGCTTTATGACCCGAAACATTCCCAGCTTCAAAAACTCTGGAATATGAGATGATTCTTAAACACCATGTCCCAGTCTCTATCATAGCACCTTAGAGCCAAAGCTTTGATCCACAAACCATGAAGTGACATGAAGCAGTTGCCTTGGGCAGCAGATTCCTGGGGCGATGCCTTTTCCGCACCTCCTGTTTCTATTTATGTACACATTTTGAAACATCAAGTCATCACTAAAGCATGGGGTGTGGGTTGGTGGACTTTGTGGACTGGATGTGTGAAAACATCCAGAATGGTATATGCCAATTGTCACCACTAAAGGCTGGATTAACTACTATATACTTACAGCTGGAGCCAGAGAAGAACTCTGCTCATGAAATGGGCCTTTTTTGGACTCCCTTTCCATTGCAGCCCCTGATAACTCCAAAAGTGACTCCTGATGGTCAAGATGAAGGAGGCTGAAGGGGTGGGG